ACTTACAGCAGCAGAAGAGGACTCTGGTTAAACATGGATCATATGTATTCCATATGGAATCTGCTTGATCTTTCTCTCTCACAAATACACACGCAACCACCACACGTGGAATGCAGTGGAAATGCCTAGAGGTTCATATGCATCGAGATAGGTGAGAAATATAGTAGAAATAAATGGACATGTCTGACTTTAGCTTGGATTGTGATATTTTGCTACTGCTACAGCAAAATAAATAAATAAATACACAGAATTGGTAAGAAGTATTCACAGGTACAAAGCTGCAGTGATGGTTTTCAATTAATTTATATTACACCAAATTTATATGGGGGTGGATATATATATATCCACCAAATTTATATATATATATCCACCCCCATTTAAATTTGGTGTAATATAAATTAATTGAAAACCATCACTGCAGCTTTGTACCTGTGAATACTTCTTACCAATTCTGTGTATTTATTTATTTATTTTGCTGTAGCAGTAGCAAAATATCACAATCCAAGCTAAAGTCAGACATGTCCATTTATTTCTACTATATTTCTCACCTATCTCGATGCATATGAACCTCTAGGCATTTCCACTGCCTTCCTCATCTATTTCTTCATATGCATCTCTCTGGAAATGTGCTGACTGCAGGATAACTGCATACACACGTATGTAATCTGCATACACACATCCAATCAAAAGGATGTGTAATAGCCAATCAGAATAGAATGATGCGTATAATCATTGTATCATTATTAAGAAATTGGTATTCAGTGATTATGCCAATCCCAGCATTCTGAATGGCTACTGTCATGCAGCCAGTTAGAGTACAAGCGTTTTATTTCATGTGAAGTTATTAGGCAGTAATGCCACTGTTGCCAGCTCTCACAATTTTATCATGCGTCTTGCAATATTTGGTGTTTCCATTAAAGCCTGAGCTCCTGGAGAAAAGTGCCTGTGTGAAAAGAGGCGAGAATGTCAGCTTTCATTTCTTTAAAAACTAAGTTTCTTACTTTACCCTGCCTGTGAAGAAAAGCTTGAAAATATGACAAGTGCACCTCAAAGGCCCAGAAATCAAACAGCAAATAAAAAGCATCCAAATGTATTATTTTTGTTAAAATCGCATGCTTTTAAACATTGCTCTCATGATTTTTTGGCTCCTGACTTATGAATATTGAGAGTTGGCAGTACTGTTAACTGTATTATCATTAAGCAAATTATACCCTCTTAGTCAATCTGTCATTATGCACATTAACCCCCCTGAGTCAATCAGGATGTACAGGAAGAGCAGACAATTCCATTTCTGTGTAGGAAGAACATATAAAACCACAGCATGCTCATTCAGAGCAATAGGCCTTCCACTTGTAAGCTCCAGTGTTTAATATCAAAGTATGTTTTTTCTTAGCAAGGTAATAGCTTTCCAAAATAACCGTATTCTAGGGCGTGTGCCAAGATTTATGGATAGTAGGACAAACTGCATCGGTGGAAGGTCTGGCTGCATGTTAAATGCTCCAGCTTGCAAAGAAACGTCTCCAATGTGAAAGATGACAGGTGGGAGCGAATCTTCCTATTCGGGTAGCTAAACTTGGACACACCAGGCTCAAGTTAGTGCACTAATAGCAGCAATCTGGATATTCCTGCTCAGTATCCCACACAAGTACCTAGCTTGAGTGTCCATGCTGCAGCCTGAGCCAGAACATCCCCATTGCTATTTTTAGCATGCTAGCCTGAACCCTACAAACACTAGCTCAAGCCCCTCTAGAATGAATCTGTCTACCCAGATTCGATGGCTAACTTGCCATCGCAGTGTAGACATACCCTTGTTGGTCCATGACAAGGGGAGTGCCTAAGTCGGACAACCTCTTGACTACCCCCCTAGTTCGAACTAGGGGGGGGAATGTAGTCATAAGGAGTTGCAAATGAAGCCCGGGATTTGAATTTCCCGGGCTTCATTTGCATGATCCCAGCCGGCGCCATTTTTAAATGCCGGCTAGTTCGGACTGCGTGCCGTACGGCTACACGCGGCACGAACTAGCTAATTCGGATTAGGCTTCCTAATCCGACTAGCTATACGCCTCGTTCCACTAGCTGTACAGCTAGTTCGGATTAGGAAGCCTAATCCGAACTAGCTAGTCCGTGCCGCGTGTAGCCGCGCGGCACAGAGTCCGAACTAGCCGGCATTTAAAAATGGCGCCGGCTGGGATCATGCAAATGAAGCCCGGGAAATTCAAATCCCGGGCTTCATTTGCAACTCCGTATGATTACATTACCCTTGCTAACATCTGCTTGGAGGAGAAGGGACAATGAAGAGGCAAAGTCTTGGCCTCATCTTCCTGCTTTCATGATGGTTAAAAGATCTGGCTCTCAGTCCCCCCATAGGACTGTGCCATTGGGAGGGCTGGCTCCAAAGTTTCCTGAATTCTGCTGAGAGCAGGGGAGCTCTCTTCTAGCCCTTAATGCAACCCAGAGCACAACTGCCAATATCAAGACCTTAGATAATTTTCAAACATTATGAATTCAGTGTTCTGTGTCCGTTAACCCTATCTCGACAGCGGCAGAGCTGGCAAGGCCTGTAAGCACAGCTGGCATGTGTTGGATTCCCCACAAGTTCTGTGCTGGTCTCTTCCTCTGCAGAGCTCAGCAGGGATTCACTGAAGTGCAGACAGCGCTGTGAATACCTGGAATATCCAGAGCTATTACAGTAAATACTGTTTAAAAATAAACGAGAGGTTGGGAACAACTGTAAACCCTCATGCTTCAGGGCATAAGTCAGACTATGGAAATTTCAGAGGACACTAAATGAAATTAATGAGTAGCAGGTTTAAAACTAATAAAAAAAAGTTCTTCTTCACACAGCGTATAGTCAACCTGTGGAACTCCTTGCCAGAGGAGGCTGTGAAGGCTAGGACTATAATAGAGTTTAAAGAGAAGCTAGATAATTTCACGGAGGTTAGGTCCATAAAAGGCTATTAGCCAGGGGATAGAAATGGTGTCCCTGGCCTCTGTTTGTCAGAGGCTGGAGAAGGATGGCACAAGACAAATCACTTGATTGTTGTCTTCAGTCCACCCCGTCTGGGGCAGCTGGTGCTGGCCACTGTCGGCAGACAGGCTACTGGGCTAGATGGACCTTTGGTCTGACCCAGTACGGCCATTCTTATGTTCTTATGTGACTCTCACTCTTAGGGGCTAAGAGAAAAATTTAGCTGAGGGCAAGTTATCCCTGAATTGCCTACTATGGGGTTTCTGGCACTTTACTCTGGCCATTGTCGGTAGCAAGGCTATTGAAGTCGACGGTCTGAGCTGGTCTGATAATCCCATATGCCAGGGCTCCCAGATTCTAAAATACCTCCCGGTTCAATCCCAGGGTGCGTCATTTTGTGCAGCTTCATCTGTTGACATCCCTTCATGGTGGGAAACTGTCACTGGTTTTTTCCCTCTCTGGGCTCTTCAGTCAGTGGTAGCAGCTGGAGGAAGCAGGAACCTATTCCAGCTCACCTCAAAGCAATGGGATCTGTGGGGAATTAGTGGCCTCATAACAACTCCTTCCATAATGACACTGGGAACCTAGTGGAAATCAAGCTACTGAAAGGAGCCAGGGGCTGTTGGGATGTGTGTGTGGGCAGACAGTCTGGAAGAAGAATTGCTGGGGAAGGGGGAGGAGAGAACTTGGGGTGCTCAGGGGTAGGAGAAGGAAACACTTGCAGGAGGTGGGAGTATATATGGTTGTTGGGGAACATTCCCTCATTTTGTCCTTTCTCCCCAATACCCCCCCCCCCCAATAACTGTGTCCTACATCGTTTGTTTCCTTCTGCCCTAGGAGTACCCAGGGATGTGAGGTACTCACCACCACCAGCCTCTGGCAGCATAAACACTGCCTTCCGGGCCTCCACAGGCCTTGCTCCTTCTGTACAGGTCACAAGTCCTCAGAGGGTTCTCTGCAGTGCTTGGCCCCTTCTCCAACAAACACTCCCAGAACTGCCAAGTTGGCTGTTCCCAAAAAGAACAGGACACAGCAACATGTACAATTCAGCTCTGGGCCAGCACTTTGCTTACCACCGCAGCACTGGGATATGTTTACAGTGAAAACATAAATACGTTTATGATCAAAGATTAGAGATTCAGGAGACTGAGAATGAGGGCAATGGAAACAAATGGTTAAATATAAAACAAAATCATAACACGCTGTGAAGAGACTAAACTTAATCTGAAGTCTCCTGACTAAAGAAATGTCTCTCACCCAGAGCAGGCCAAGACCCCACTTCCATGAATACCAGTTCACTGTCTGATTACAGTACTTCCTTGTTGCTGAATGCCCATGTGCTCTTTTCTTTTTAGAAATACCGCCGCCAAAGGTCATTTTCTGTATTGTTAGACATGACAACTCCTATGGCTTGGTTTTTTTTTCCTGTGACCTCCTTCCTCTTGAGTTCATATCTCTCTATTAACATTTGACTTTGTATGTAAATGCTGTGCTAAATTACAGTGCTTCATTTACATCCTGATGGAGGTGCCAAGTACAATTCTACCTGAACTTTAATGAAAGGCCTTTCCCCTACACCTTGTTAATGGTATGCATGACTGGTTTCTGCTGTCCCCTTAGGCGACAGCTTAAAATAGGTTTCACTATTTGTAGACCAGAGATCAGGTTATGTTGCATAGCAACATAGCTTGCTGTGCATTTATTGTAAATCGCTCCACATCAATGGGTTTATCCCAGTACATCAAACTCTCTGCTCTCCACATTCTTGCACATGGCCTCTCCTCTGCAGTCTACTGGAGCTGGCAACATTTGGCTAGAACTGTGTAGTATTGTGTAGTTGGTGAGATTACAATCTTGGGGTAAGAAGGTCTCTCATCCACTGGTGAATCTACTTATTCATTTTTATTCATTATAGGACTTGGACTGCCGCCTCTACCAAGATTTACGGCAGAGGAAACATCCTCATGTTGGAAAAGTTTCTAAGCTTCAGCTTTAAATAGTCACTTAACTATTACCTTTCTTTTGTCAACAGTTTTTGCCAGAATCCTGAAAGCTCCTGAATCCCACAATGTCACCTTTGGGTCTGTGGTGACTCTGCGGTGCACAGCGACTGGCATTCCCATTCCCACTATCACATGGCTTGAAAATGGAAAAGCTGTAAGTGCCCCTTTTATACCTATGACTAATGAGGGCTGGCATCAGGGGATGCATGATTTAATGGATCACACACAGAACTGGGAGCCAGGAAGTCGGGTTCTATTCCTGTCTGAAATGACGCGGCGGGCCACCTTGGACAAATCATTTAACTGCTGCGTCTCATTTTCCCCATCTGTAAACTGTGGAGAATTATACAGTGTTTATCTGCTTCATGGGGCTGGTGCATCATGTGACCTGTTAATGATCACAAAGTGCTTATTAATCCTTAGAGACAGGGCATTATAGAAGGGTACGACTAAACTACATGGCTCCGTCATGGAGCCATGTAGATTTGTTTTTTTGGCAAAGGGAAATGAAGCCACGATTTAAATAATCGCGGCTTCATTTAAATTTACATGGTTGCTGCACTGAGCCGACAAACAGCTGATCAGCTGTTTGTCGGCTCAGCGCGGCAGCCATGTAAATTTAAATGAAGCCGCGATTATTTAAATCGTGGCTT